TTGAAATCTAAGGATCAATGTCACTTGATATAGACTAGAACAAAGAGGCATTTCACAGTTGCGGGGCCCTCATGAGTAGAGATGCCCAGACAAGTGAATAGGAAAGTAAAAGTTTTTATTTTTTCCAAAATTATGTATCTACTTATCGTTTTACAGAAGGGTTGTCTCAAATTCAAGTTGATTTTTATTTATTTATTTATTTATTTTTTTGGGTTATTGCTTTCTCAAAGTGACTGAAATTCTTGTTAGATGGTGACATCCCGCTCGATTGCGGGGCCTGGGTGCTGTGATATGGCTCATACTTTGTGCAAATAGTTATGGTTCTTGTTAAGCACGTAACTTTTCCTATAGTGGGAAATTGAACACTGTCGGCAAATCTCTTTTTCAGTGCTTTCTTTAGGCAAAAAGCCTACCACAGACCTTCTGGGGTGCCGTAAATAAACAAAGAAGAAAAAGTGTCCTAAATAAAATGAGAATCTTCAAGCAAAAGCTTGACTTCATTACTTCATTCGCATAACTTGAAATATATCATTCAAGTTTGACTTCCCTGTCTATTCAGTGTAATTAATAGTACATAGTTTCACTCCTCTATTCCATCTTAAATGGATTCCTAGCAACAAGAAGTTATACTAGTTTGGTCTATTCCTCTCGTTTCGTTAGAAAGCTCGAGCACAGTTGCAATTGCTAAGAATTCCAGTGTCGTGTAAGTGCAACTGACTCGTGACCTGTAATTCAAAAGTTCAAATTACAAATTATTAAATCCAAATTATAATTAGCGATTTTCAAATTTGTAATTGACAGTTTTCTGAGTCAAAATCAAGTCTTTGTTTAATTGTATTAAAAGTTTATCGAGTTGTAATCAAAGTCAGAGTTATCGAGTCTTAGTTATAGTAAAAATAGTTCAAGGTTAGTAATATAATCCTTGGAGGAGTCAAAAATGTCTAAGAAGATCACATATGATCAATGGAATGTAATTAGAAGTCAAAGGAGTATCAGAGTGTTACACAAGTTCCGCTTCAATTTTTCAATTGCAAGTCACAATACATTTTTCATATAGAAAACATTTGAATTTGAAAAATACTACCTCTAGAAAAATTATATTCATTGAGTTAGATTTTCAACGTACTTTGAACCTCCTCAATTAGTTATTGGGAGAGAAAGTTGTGATAAAAATACTGATCATTGCTCAGCTGTCACTCACCTCGAGCTCGAGTGGCGTGGTTATGTGAGAAACTGTATAATTTGATTTCAAGTTGATTTTGAGTTCCTTCTCATCCCAAACATACCATTATAAATATACACCCTATGGAACATTTAGAAGTGTGGTTGAACAATGTTTTGATTATAGAAATCATTCTTTGAAAATTCAAACATCTTTTAATTGATTCTTTGATTCAACCACAATATTATTTGTTCAACTTTCAATCCGTATATTAATCTAACTACTAGAGCCTTGTTGTAAGTCAAGACTTTGTTTTTTTTAAAGCCAAAAACATATTCCAATATCTCTTGCATCATTGTACAACATCAAAACGTAGAAAAATCCTTGATCAAACACCAAAACGAAATCTTGCCTTCGCTAATTAACCCTCAGAGTTATGGAGTTTTGAGAAGAGATGCTTGGAGTTCCGACTCTTGAGAACGAGGTTCATTCTTGTTGATCCACGGGGAGAGAAAAGAAGCTAAGAGTTCTTAGTAGTGTTGGACTACACAATTGAAGGAATTTCTCAGTGATTTACAAGTAGATAACCAGAGTCAGCTAAGATTTACCAGTATTCGAATTAATTGTAAGTCAACTATTCCAGTGAATTTTATTGGCAAGTTTGTCCGGTGGTTTTTTATCTAGTTAGGGATTTTCCTCTGTGATCGTATTTGGTATTATTTATTTATTTAATGCTTTAATCTGAATGTTTTCTATTGTTTAAATATAGAAATTAATTGAAATAATTATCTTAATCATCTAGAAATAATTAATAAGTGATATGTTATTTTTAATTGGTTTAATTCCACATTTAAATCTCACCTATTCCATAAATTTATACTTGCACAAGTCATGTACAAGTGACATTTAGAAATTAATTTTTGTTCCGCTAATTATTTGTTAAATACTTTATTGCAGAAACCAGAATTGGAGGCTTAGCTGAAGGCTGTGGAAAATGGGATTTCTACTAATTACACCTTCTTCTTTACAGATACTGTTACGCCTCGTAACCTGAAGCTCCTAGTGAAAGTCATGTGGAGATATTTGACAGCCAACAAAGACCTAATTGGTCAACATAAAGAAGTTAATGGCTGAAGCGCTATCTCTTCATCACAAACTATTCTCTATTGAAGAACTATCTCCATTCGAAGCTCTCTCCAGCCGAATCACCCCATCTGAAGCCCTCTTCTGCATAGTATCTTTAGGATTGATGAATGTCAAAATTGTCAACTTAGGGTGTAGGGCGATTGAGTTGTTGTCAATGCATTAAATGTATGGCAGTGAGTGGTGTGAGGCGTTGATGAGGACATCATTTTTGTTTATTTCTAGTTGGACTTTATTTATGTTTTAGATTCTATTTATGTAATTGGGCTTGTATTGGCCCAAATCCGTTCTAGGTAGGGTTTTGCCTTTACTAGTTAAATCTAATTTTTCATGTAATTTCATTAGTTTTAGATGAATATGAATTATTGAGATTGGTTGTGATATCTCCTTCCTCTCCTTTTCCCCTGAATTTCTGCTTCTTTTCTGATTTCTTCCCTCTTCTCTCTAGTTCTCCCTCCCTTTCTTGCTATTCTCTTCTCTATCCTACATCAAATTTGGTATCAAAATCGAATCTTGGGTACTTTCTCTCCTACAATCCAAAATCTCTTCCTATTTCCTTCACAAAATTTGTTGGAACAACACAATTTAAAACGAGGCCACATGGTTCTGATCCAATGGCTACCAAGTCGACCAAAACTCTATAAATAACAACTCTCCTAACATTTTGAAGGATGACATATACATACTAAAAACTGCATTCAACTTCTCCTCTCAAATATTCATACACTCAATTTAGATTTGTTTTCATATTGATCTAGTTACCATAATCATTGGTTTATATACAACCATATTTGATGACATTATCGGTATACTCGAATGTTTTCGTCTCGTGTCGTAAAATATCTCCCACGTATATAACTACCGCATGTCCGAACAAAACACGTTGAAATTTGCTTGTGTAGACGTGAGTCGGCCGGACATCTATTGTCCATTGTAGGGAATTTACTTAAACATGCACAGCGGAAATAAACAGT